CCGGTCGGCATGTTCGTTACAGTTTAAATCTTCCGGGGCAAAATTAGAAAAGTGCCGGTTAAAGGTCTTCTATGTTATTTAATGAGCTTTGAAACAAACTGATATGATTCGATATTAAACCAACTAATTATAGTAGATTAATTAACTATTCAAAAACGTGTACAGTAATTTACAATAACACGGGAATAATAAACGGACTGCTCTCCCCCTCACGACAACACGCCAGTATCATGCAGCTCGCGCGTCCAATAATGAGTGACTCGACAGTAAAACTAAAACATATCTATAACTAGTTTAGGTAGTTTGAGAGGTAATTAAAATAGCTACGTGTGATATCTGAAGAGGGTGTTTTGTTCCGCTCACCGCATGCAGAGATGCATGTCGAATAGTCCACAGCACCGGGTCTCCCCCGTCAGCAGCAGCACTGGGTCTCCCCCGTCAGATTAGACGTTACTAGCGTTTATGTTCATAACGATCAGATATAGCTAGTTCTAGCTAATGATATGACTACCTGCTTATTAAAAGACACCTAAACAATAAGCGTCACTATGCAACGGGGTGAGGCCACAAAGTATAGCACAGCATTATGCATTTTGTTTACATGCCCACCGGAACCCTGAGGCATTTACCAACAGATCAACGCGCAATCAACCCATACAGGACATCTCTTTCTACACATTATGTGTAGACATTATAATTGACTATTCTTGTCTTCTGATGTTCAATTACATCACCCCCTTAATAAAATAATCCCTATATGAAGTTACATGAGGCTACATTTACTGGTGTTGAGCCCTGGATGATGAAAATAATCTAAGTGTCATGTTAGGGGAACATTACGGAACTCAGGAGTCCGCCCTTTGAGGCGTTGTTAACATTAATGCTTTTGTTTTTGTTACTAAGATACTTTTTAGATACACTTTTGAAGTAAGCACCACTCTACAACTGGTAGAAAGTTAAGTACTTTGTATGGAATTGGGTTTTCTTTAGAGCTGTTTTCAGTGAGACAATGCAGTTTCTGATCATTTTAAGTTTCAAGTTTCAAGGCTTTATGGCATATGCCCATTAGCTACAGTGTAGATATGTCAATGAAAAAACATAGGTCACAGGCTCCTCCAACAGTGCACATAAAACAGATAAAATACTGCAATTTGTGCGTAATTCTCTCACAAAGGGAACTGTAAGATACACGTTTATGTATGGAAAACTATATAACTTGGTAAAATATTCATTCATTTGTAATGAATTGAGTTTTCTTCAAGAATCAAACTCTAAATGGAGAGTTTGTGATTTTAACACTGTTTCGATGAAACAATGCAGTTTTGATAACTTGACTTGACTAACATTACTTTTTTAAATATGTTTTTAGATGTTTTACTTTTGATTTCTTTCATATTATTTTAACACAACATTACTTTTTTCATATTTTTCAACATACTGTGATATATATATATATATTTTTTTCTCTCCATTATATTTTTGAATATACAGTGATTTGTATCAAAATACAACATGCAACTATTACATTATACAATATTATGGCTTTTTGCGATATTTTCAACACAATATACTTTTTTTTTTTTTGTAGGGCTTCAGGATATTGGGCATGTCATGCATAAAACCGGTGTCATCTTTCCTGAAACTGACGTGCTGTCCGTTTTACAAACAAGTTATCTTTCTGCTTCTTCACCCTCTGAATTTTCCTCCCCCATCCCTCTTACTTCAGCCATCACAACAGCAATCAAGTCAGATCTGTGAAATTAAACACCTCTTCCCAAAGCGTGACTTCCCTATTGAGGGAGTGGGGCAGTGGGGCCTAACCCGATTTGGCCAAATATACTAACATGCAGAACATATGGTATGTTTGAAAAAAGACTAACCATCTATCCAGTTCAAGCTGTCTTTAAGATGTGACATTGCGCTCTGACTTTTTCCCGTAAAATCGTGACAAACTATTACTTATTAAATTTGACCTCATGCTGCTTGGTTGAAAATGATAGATGAGCATTTACCAACAGATCAACGCGCAATCAACCCATACAGGAGCTCTCTTTCTACACATTATGTGTTATCACTATAATATCATGTCATTATTTAATGTTGTTTTGTTTGTGTGTGTGTGTACAACGAAGTCTCTTTGAGAGGAAAATTATAATTTAAAGATCTTAATACCTCCTTATTGTTTAATTACTTCACACAACTATTAAAGAATCCCTATATGAAGTTACATGAGGCTACATTTACTGGTGTGCTTCCCTAGATGATGTAAATAGTCTAAGTGTCATGTTAGGGGGGCATTACGGACCTCAGGAGTCCGCCCTTGGAGGCTTGGAGAGCGGATAAAGAGAGGTGTATTTACTGGTGTTGAGCCCTGGATGATGTAAATAGTCCAAGTGCCATGGAACTCAGGAGTCCGCCCTTTGAGGCGTTGTTAACATTAATGCTTTTTGCTTTTGTTTTTGTTACTAAGATACTTTTTAGCCTTATGATAGGATGAACTTAAGCTGTAGTCAATAAAGACATGTTTAATAGAGTGTTGCTGTTATAGAACATACCTGCGCAGCACTCCACCACGTCTTGGCTTTGGCTTCATGGCCTTCACTGTCCTCTCCCTTTGAGTTTTTTCAAAGGCTGGGATACATTTTTCCAAATGATCACTTGTTACCTGGTGACAAACATATGGTTATATAACCTTAAAGAACTAACAAAAAATAATTAAGTATTTGCAATGCATAAACATAGAAGATATCACTGTCATATTATGATCACTTATTGTAAGTAAGTTTAAGTAAAACTAACACAAGTCAATATTATTCACCTGGGCATTAGTGGGCTTGAGGGTCTCAGGGAGCGTGGACAAAGTGACTTGTCTCTGTATTTGAGGATTCTCAGTGCAGGCACTAACAGGAAGCTGCTGTGCATTAGTGGAGAGTCCTCTGAAGGCAGCTGTTATTTCATTCACACACTCATCTGTTACCTGCTGACTCCTCATAGTAAGTCTAGCCAAGTCAGCTGTTAACCTGTTCCACTCTGAGCCTGTTTTTCAGGTCTCAGGCTCGAAAATGACATTCCCAGAACAAATGACCATATCTTCCCTTCTAAAAGGGTTAAATTAATAATCTTTGTTCTCAAAGTAATGATAAACCTGTGAGTTGGATGTAGAAGTGTCAGAATCAATATAAATGTTTTTTATTTTAAAGAAAATTCAGATTTTACATAGTAAAAAACTGTAAATTATAGTGTCCGTCCAAAAATTATTTTTTACAGATAGTGAAAACTACCCTTGGATGATGGGTTAGTAGACTAAAAGCTTTAGGAATCCAAAGTACAACATATAATAAGTACCCTGTATCAAGATTGATGCAAAACAAGTGAAATTTGACCTTTTTAGAGAGATTTAGCCAAAGACTGGGCCATCTGGGGTCATTTGGGTGGATTTGACCTATCTTTGGCCCCCCTTGCTCGATTTGGTTGGTTGACATACCCTTGTGACCGTTAGAGCCAATAGAATCGAAGCGGGAGGCTCCCACCAACACACGTTGTAAAGAAAAAATATGGTTGCTTCGCGTGTGGAAAGCGAAACCAAAGTGGAGGAATGTCTCCTTCTGGAGTTTGGAAACTAAAACGCAGTTGTATTGCTTATGGATTATCAGAAATAATTTCAAAGAAGGCACAGACACATAGGATGAACCTATGGATTAACTGCAGCATCGTTTTTTTATCGTTTTAATGCCATTGAAGACCACTTTTGACCAAGGTAAGCCATATTTACGTGTTTAGCTTCTTAGCTCCACATGTGATGATGTACGCTTTCGTTTAGAGCGTCGCGAATGTTTATCACTGAGTGTTGAGGAGGGCACTGTTAGATTCAGTGTCTCCAGGACACCAAAAAAGAGTGTTTGGTTGTGCATCTAGGATAAGTAATAAGGGAGTTCTGAGTGAGTTTATGTGTCTTTGTAGGTTACGTTTTTTCGTCGAGGCTAATTCAGAGGCTGAGTGCTAGCATTGTGGGTTTTTTTTGAAAAAAAAAATTAAAAAGATCAGTTAGCTGAGTTTCTTCCCGTTACATGGATATAACACATTCATAGTTTTATTCAATATTAAGATTCCTTAGACGTTGTTTCCTGCAAATGACGCGTTTATCCGCCCGGTACCGGGGGGAAGGTGTGAAACAGGTTAAAGTATTTCGTGAGGCCTTCTAAAATGTTTTTAAATATAATTAGGGTTGTAGTTGAAGAGTTTGTAAATTGTTCAGGCAACGCAATCGCACAACGGCACGTCCGTTAATTCCACAACCACACACATGGATTAACATCGATTTAATACATTAATGTAGCCTTTGTTTCTGCTAAAAGAGGTGTCAACCAGCTGGGGCAACAAGAAAATCGGCGAAATCGAGTGTGACTATTACAAAATAAATAATTCTTATATTAATATTGACAATAACAACCGACCGTCGGGGTAGAGCATTTGCCGGGGAGCGTTCTCATGGCGTCTATTATCAACGCTATGGGAGGTCTATGAAGGTCTATGGGACGCCCTGCCCGTTGAAAACTGACGCTCAAGGGGTACCCTGTGCGTAATAGGGTGACGGGGAGGGGCCCTGACCGACCGTCAACATGTGACGGGTTGGGAGTGAGAACGTGTTGGAAGTCTCTGTCCTGTCGATTACACCAAACAGTTCATCCAGCGCTGTGTTGTTGTCAGCATGTGGGGGAATGTACACAGCTGTAATCACAACCGATGAAAATTATCTTGGTAGATGGAAAGCCCGGCATCCTATCATGAGGTGTTCTAAATGAGGGGAACAGTACGAAGAAATAATCCCCACGTCTGTGCACCAGTTATTGTTTATCATGACGCACACACCTCTTCCCTTGCTTCTCTCTGAATTAACAGTCCGATCCTGGCGAAAAATAGTAAATTTGTCGGGGCAATGGCGGAGTCCGGGACAGCGGAGTTGAGCCAAGTCTCCGTGAAAATGATCACGTTACAGAATTAAGTTAAAATTGGTGTTAAAAAAGACAACATGCATCCTTGTGTCTGTAGTCAGTGAGCTTACAATTTGATGTAGTACCAAAACCAACAACCCAGTTGTTGTCTCCGGTGTTGAAGGTGCTGTTTGCAGAGGCCAAGCACACCGGCTGGATGTAGTTGGTAAACGTCACCGGGCTCGACAGCTTCAGAAGAGCCATGTCGTTATCAAATTCGTTGAGAAGGTCGCCGTAAGCAGGATGGACTATGATCTTATCAATTGCCTTAGACACGTTGTTCAAGTTTGGACCAGACATGCTTTCGAGGCCCAGAACAACCGTCATGTTGCGACTTGAAGACAAAGAATCAACATGGTAAATGTAGTTTTGTGACTTTAAGCATCCAGAGTACTGATTGATCAATTATCTCATCTGGCTCTCAACTAGGAAGCAACAAATGGACAATTACTCTAAAATATCTAAAAAAAACTTGATCAATGGTGACTCCTTACTCTGGGTTGCAGTGAGCAGCAGTCAGAACCCACATATCGCTGATCAGGGACCCTCCACAATGGTGCATGCCATTCACTTGTATACTGGCTACCCAGGGCCAAGTTCCTGCAGCCGCATTTTGACCTCCCACAATTCTGAGGTTGTTTGGTGCCCGGCCACATGCTGACAGAGAAAAGAGAACAGATTAGACATGGACATGTAGAACCAGTGCTTTTCATAACTCACTGAAGGAATCTTGAAGAACTTGTTATGTTGCTCATATACGCTTACCTGGCTGCTGTTGTGAATGACATCCTGAAATTGAGAACACGGACAGAAAAATGTTATGCAAACGTCTTGGTTGAAACAAACGATGACAAGCATTTAGTGGTGTAACAATTCACATATTTTATTTAAGTAAACTACACGCATAGTTCCTGTGTTGGAATTTTACTGAGGTCAGATGATTGACTTTAGTTAGATAAATATTTAATTGATAATTCATAGAACATGGCTTGTTGCTTGATTGACTTGGCTGGTTCTGTTGTACCAAAATCAATTTGTTTATTTTTTCAATGTAAAAATCGTATTTGTAAACTACCTAGTATCTAGGTAAGTGAAAGTAGTACAGTATATAATATATTCCCTTTGATTTGTAGTGGACTTGAGTATTATCTTTTCATTCTACCTTAAACTTCAAGTACTTCATTATTTTACTTCAGGAAATGCACCTACGATCCATCCTTGCATGCCTTTTATGAGCACACATCAAAAACAGACATGATATTCGAACAGAGGGCCTGCTTTATTGAAGGCAGAAATGTCCTCTTCCGAAATATTTTGAAAACATAAAACATATCCTTTCAGTTCACTTTAAAGTCTGACTTGTCGTGACACAAAATCTGCAGTCTAGCCCATCCGAAACTCCTGATGTACTTACTGATAATGCTTTATTTCTGACATTAGTTTGATAAACTTTGCACAGCACGTTTTGTCCAATATAGAATAGAACACACTCGTGCTCATTTTATCTCAGCAACCAAAGTGAACACGAGAACACCAGAGAATTCATAAGTGCAAAATAAAATAAAAATTGAAAATACGGCAACAAAAAATCGGCTCAACCAGTTTAATTTTCTATTAAATCCAATTCTTTTGGGGGGTTTTTCGACTCATTTGCTAACGATGGGGACACAAAATATTCCTGTTTTTGAGAGGATTAAAAAAAACACTGACTACAATGGGTTTCATATTACTTGACGGTCCATTGACCCAGATGGGTAAACCTAGTTTGGAATATTTCACTTCTGCACTGCCTCTCCAGCAGACAAAACCATTTCAAAGACTAACCCAAATCAAAGTACCAATACTTTTGCTGACCATGTTATTAATACTTTTTTAAATAAAGAAATAGAAAGACTAGATCCAATCAAAATAGTGCAAGAAAAAAATCCAAATAAAGCTGCACGGTTAGCACTGATTACAAGCACTCTGACACTTCAGTGACTTTAATTGATTGTCCTTCACATGCACTTGAACTCCTTTTGATCACATTATAAAATCAGTTATGTTCTAGTTATTAGTAGATGAAATATTTACTCTTTAATTTGAAGGAAGATTTAGAGATCAGCTACACAATCTCTACTATTTTGGTCCCTTGAGATACCAACATCAACTCAAACACATTAGCATAATATCATTTAACAACAAAACATTTGTAACCGTTTAAAGAAAGATCACATAAACGTTCTCACCATTGGATAAGAGGATGATCATCACCGCTGAACCACACAGAAATTGGTAGAGAGCCATTTTCACTGTGCCTTCTTCCCTCTGTGCTCATCATTTAATACCCTGAACCTCATACCTAGCTCCGCCCACAACTTTAAACCGTTCACCTTTAACTTGCATTTTTCTATTGTTACACGTAACAATCGATCACACAGAAGTTAACACATATTTGAAGAAGCTATGCACGGGAATGTGAACAAAAATCCTTGAGTCTAACTTGTTTTTCTTGATGCCTTTGTGTCTAACTTGTTTTTCTTGATGCCTTTGTGTCTGCAGCATGCATGAAGCTCCCAGTGTTACATTGTTCACTCAGATATAAATGAAATGGTTCATATTAATTTCACCAGTTTTTTGTTTTAACTTTTACGATTCCTTTTAGTCTAACATAAAAAAAACAATAATTCTCACCATTAGAAAATTCAGTCATACGTTACGTTAAAAAAAAAAACGTGACCTTTGTTTTCTTCCATCTTTTACTCTATTGGACGTCACTGTTCAATAATTCAAGTTTAGTAGATAAAAAGTGTTCGGTAATGTTTGTCAAGCTGCCTATAGGTGTTTCTTTTGCAATGGCTGACTATTTCTATGTGTTTAATGACTGTAGTTAATCGACAAATTCCTTTTTTTGTGCCTGTTAGGAGTTTCAATTCAGTGAGAGTCTTCTGCATCAATTGCAAAATTGGTGATTTTATTCTAAACCAATAGTAAGCTCTCTCGATTTACAATTTACACCACTGAGACTAATCCCATCCACGGAATAACAATGAGACCGTTGCTCCGGGCTGCTTGCTAGTTAGTTTTCCGATCAGCCACGCAGAACATATTGCAGGTTTTTCACAAACGATGCGCGGCGGCCTGCTTGGGATAGGAGTCGCATTCATGTGTGAATATTTGAAAATTAACGTTTAGAGAGTAAAAATGTCAGGGTTGAGTGAAGCAGGCAGGACCCAAATGCAGATTTGAAAGATAATTCCTTTATTCCAAGGTAACAAAGTCGAAAACAGAACACTACCCCGTGACACAGTCAAAGACAAACAAAGATCTAACCAAAAAAAAACAGAACTTAAATACACACAAGACTAATCACACAACAAGGGTGTTTCTCAATCGAGTACGCTTGCTTGGTAGCACATGTCTGCCGAGCATCTTGCTTCAGAAGCGAGTCAAGAATACTTCCTGCCATTCGGAAAACAAAGAGTGGAACACGCTAGCAAGTGTGCAGGTGTGCGTCATATGAGAGGCCCCGCCTTACATCTTCCGCCACAGATTTGGGGAAATTGGTCCGTGCGCAAAGCATTGTGGGGATTTTAAGGCCGCGAAGTCTACTCATGTGCACCCTCGATATTTCTCCAAACGGAGTACGTCGGGCTCGGTAGATTTCCAAGTATACTGGAGATTGGAACAGTACTTCGGCGGCACTCGATGACGTAGTATGCTTGAAATAGTGGCTCGGAAGCAGCTTTACTCGCGATTGAGAAACACCCCAAGACACAGGTGAGGAGGGAGGAGAAAACACAGGGGCACCAGGTGAACACAATCAGGAAATCAGAAACAGGAGGGCAAACACAGAGACAGGAATCAACAGACAAGACAGGGGGTGAACACCTTTCAAAATAAAACAGGAAACCAGAGACAGAATAAGACAAGACAAAACACAACACAGACAGATCGTGACATTACCCCCCCCTCAAGGGACGGATCCCAGACGTGCAAGGCAGAGTTAAAAAAGGGGCGAAGGCCACAGCGGGCGAACTCAGGGGGCCGGGCATGAGGGCGAATGCCGCGGCTGGGTAACTCAGGGAGCCGGGCTCGAGGGCGAATGCCGCGGCACTCAGGGGGCCGGGCTCGAGGGCGAAGGCAGCGGCTGGAAGAGTCAGGGGGCCGGGCTCGAGGGCGAAGGTGATGCGCCGGTGAAGATGGCCGCATCGTCTACGTGCTCCTCTCCAACTTTGCCCATTTTCGTATTTTGTACATATTTCATTTACTTTTGCCGTTTTACTTTTAACATGGTTCGCAACATGCTAGCCGACCGCACCTACTCTGCCATACAATATAGCAGAGAGGAACTTTTCCAATTGCGAAACTTCGTGGACAATAATAACCCTCCGACAAACAATGGAGATTCACCATGGCTACCTGTTGCTGTTCTACCTGAGAGACGCAAGAAGAAGACAAAGCGGGGATGCCGGGCCGGGTTGCTGGTCAGACTGAGAAAACGAGAGAATCGGCCCCCTCTTCCGAGTATTCTTCTGGCTAATGTTCAATCCATTGAAAATAAGCTAGATGAACTCAGAAGCCGGATTGCTTTTCAACGGGACATTAAGAACTGTAACGTGTTAATTCTCACTGAGACTTGGCTCAACCCCGCTATCCCGGACTCCGCTATTGTCCCTAACGGATTCTCTATTTTTCGTCAGGACCGGACTGCTAACTCGGGAAAAGTAAGGGAGGCGGTGTGTGTGTAATGACTAACAACAACTGGTGCTCAGATGTGAAGATTATTTCATCGGACTGTTCCGCACATCTCGAGCACCTCATGATCTCATGTCGGGCCTTCCATCTGCCGAGGGAATTCACATCTGTTGTGATAACAGCAGTGTATATCCCGCCGCAGCCACTCGCTGACAACAACACGGCACTCGATCAGCTGTTTGGGTTTATTGATAAAACCGAGACTTCACGGCCAGATGCGGCGTTCGCTGTGGCCGGAGATTTCAACACCGCCAACATGAAGAAGGTTTTGCCAAAATATTACCAACACATCAACTTCCCGACGCGCGGGGGAAACATACTGGACCATGTTTATTCCCCTTTCCGGAATGGATATAAGGCTCTCCCTCGCCCTCCCTTCGGCAAATCAGACCATATCTCACTACTGTTGTTGCCTGCGTACAAGCAGAAACTTAAAAGGGACAGACCGATAACAAGGACAGTACAGCGATGGAGCGAGGAGTCAGATTCAGCACTGCAGGATTGCTTTGCATCTACGGATTGGAGTGTGTTTGAGGACAATAACATCAACACACACACGGACACTGTCATCTGCTACATTGGGAAATGCATCGATGACGTGGTACCGAAGGTTTCTGTACGGACATTCCCAAATCAAAAGCCCTGGGTAAACGGTGAGGTGCGCGGCAAACTGAAAGCGCGCACTCTCGCGCACACAGCGGGAGATTTGGAGGAGTACAGGAAGTCTAGGTATGATCTCCGGAGAGCAATTCAAAATGCAAAGAGACAGTACAAAGACAAGGTGGAATCTGACTTCAAAGGCTGTAACACTAGGAATATGTGGGCGGGACTAAGGACAATGACTGACTACAAAGGAGCAGCGGGGGGTGCTGCGGGAGTGTCTGCGTGCGCATCTCTCCCAGATGAGCTAAACAGTTTTTTTGCACGCTTTGAGAGCAGCCAGGCTGTGGAGGTACAGAGGGACCAGGAGCTACACTGCCCTTTTGTTTTAAATAGGGCAGATGTGTGTAAATCCTTTAAAAGGGTTAACCCACACAAGGCTCCTGGACCTGATGGCATCCCTGGCCGTGTTCTCAGGGTGTGTGCAGTTCAGCTGGCAGAGGTGTTCACAGACATCTTCAACAGGTCCCTGCTGCAGTCTGTAGTCCCCACATGTTTTAAACACTCTACCATCATTCCTGTCCCCAAAAAGACAATCATCACCTGCCCCAACGACTACCGCCCAGTAGCACTCACCTCCATCATAATGAAGTGCTTTGAGCGGTTAGTCAAATTATTCATCACCTCCTCCCTCCCTGAATCTCTGGACCCCCTGCAGTTTGCCTACAGAGCAAACAGGTCCACAGACGACGCCATAGCCCTCACCCTCCACACTGCCCTCTCACACCTGGACCCGAAGAACAGGAACACATATGTGAGAATGCTGTTCATTGACTACAGTTCAGCATTCAACACCATTGTGCCCTCCAAGCTGGCCATCAAGCTCAGAGACCTCGGGCTCAACAGCGCCCTCTGTGACTGGATCCTGAACTTCCTGACGGGCAGACCCCAGGCAGTGCGGGTGGGAAATATCACATCCTCCACCCTGATTCTCAACACCGGTGCCCCTCAAGGCTGCGTGCTCAGCCCTCTCCTCTACTCCCTGTTCACCCACGACTGCGTGGCCACACACAGCTCCAACACCATCGTGAAGTTTGCTGATGACACGACCGTCATCGGCCAGATCACAGACGATGACGAGACGGCGTACAGAGAGGAGGTCGAAAACCTGACATCTTGGTGCCAGGAGAACAACCTCCATCTCAACATCAGCAAAACAAAGGAGCTGATTGTGGACTACAGGAAGCAGCAGGGAGAGGGACACGCCCCCATCGCCATCAATGGGACTACGGTGGAGAGAGTCAAAAGCTTCAGGTTCCTTGGGGTCCACATCACTGAGGACCTGACATGGTCTCTTCACACCACCACCATCACCAAGAAAGCTCGACAGCGGCTCTTCTTCCTCCGCAGGTTGAGGAGGTTCAAAATGGATCCCAGGATACTCTGCAACTTCTACAGGTGCACGATAGAGAGTATCCTCACTGGCAGCATGACGGCCTGGTACGGCAGCTGCACCGACCTCGATCGTAAGGCTTTACAGAGGGTGGTGAAAACTGCACAGCACATCACCAGGACGGAGCTGCCATCCATGGAGGACCTTTATTCCCAGCGGCTCAGGAAGAAATCACTACGGATTATCAAAGACCCCATCACCCCAGCCACAAACTGTTCTTTCTGTTGCCGTCTGGCAGACGTTACCGCAGCATCCTGGCAAGGACAAGAAGATTCGGAGACAGTTTCTTCCCGCGGGCAGCGAGACTGTTACAAAATTGAACTGTTGAAACAACATCAAACATTCAACTGCTACTCAGTAGTATGTATCTAATACCTAATATATATATATCATTCCAATAACTTGTATATAGACTCATACTGCACTATTCCACATCATAACTTTATTTCATTTTTATAACTATTATTATTTTTGTATTGCTCATGCTCTTATTGTTATTATGTTATGTTATTATGTTGCATTGTTGGAGAAGCCTGTGACATAAGATT